AATTTTGATTTTAGAGTATGATTTTTTTTAAGAATATTTAAGTTATATTATTTTTGTTTTAAGAACACTGTTATACAATATTATAATACAAGCTCCCTCCACTATATAATTTACAAAATTATAAAACACTTTTTTTTTCTAAATTTTCAAAATTTTAAATTAAAAATATTATTTTTTTTTTTGTTCTATTTCACATTTCATATTTTATATTGTAAGAAGGATAAAGTAATACTGATTATAAAATAAAAATTTTTGTTAACACAATATTTCCTTTTAATTTATTGGAAAGTTATGGGTATATTTAGAAAAGCTTTTTTTTTCCTATATAAGTGATTTATTTTTTGTTGTACTTCCAGAAAAATCAGGCACAATGTATAGTAAAAAAATAAAAAAAAAACAAAAAAAGCTTTTTATTATTATTATTTTTTTTTATGTTTTTTCACCTATATATATGTAGTTTATTATACACCCCCACTTATATATATATATATATATATATATATATACATATATATAAATATATATACATATATATATATATATATTTATATATAGTATATATATAACTGTTATATTGTGTAGAATATAGGTAATGTCTATTAATGTTATAATATGTTTGTGTACCTGTATATTGTATATATATCTATATATATCACAATAAATTTTTTTTTTGAAAAAAAATATTCATTTAGTTATTTTCTTTAACACTGATATCATTTAATGAAAACAAATGTTATATTATATATATTATGAGAACATGGGGTATATTTTGTAATTTTATATACGATATAATATTAAAAAAAAAAAAAACAAATAAGAAGAGAAGAGCATAAAGAATTTTGTTAAACACAAAAAAAAAATCTGAAACTAAAATATTTTATTATTACTTAAAATAATAATATTAAAGCTATATATATATATATATATATATATATATATGTATACATACAGTGGTAATTTCAAATTAAAGGATAATATTATAAAAAGAATTGTATTTATTTATATATACCCGTACTTTATATATATATATATATATATATATATATATATATATATTATAATTTGGCCTTCAATTTTCAGTATATTATGAATGTAATTCATGAAAATAATATTCTTAGAAAATATTTTTATTTAAATTGTTTTAATTTTATAGATGGATGGGATAATTTGAGAAGTGGAATGGGGAATAAAATAAAAAAAATTGAGAATATTGTATATTAAATAAATAAAATTCCAATATAAAGATTTATAGAATTTTAAAAGAAAAACAAATTTCTGGTGACGTCATTGCTTTAAATTTCAATTTCGTTTGATATTAAATTAAAATATATTTCATTATCCTTTGTTGTATTATATTGTAACTGGCTAAGAATTAAATTGTTGAAATTGTTGAATTATTCGTTCTTTTTTATAATGTATAGCGTAATGGATGCATACAATTGCTAGAACTGTTAAACAATATTTCACACAAAACTTTTTTTATTAATAAAAATTTTAATATTAATTGCAGGATTATAAAAATTTGGGTATTTATAAAATATTAATCGAATATTTGTCTTTAATCGTTAACAATTTATATGAAATGGAGGTGAAGCAAAACTTTCACTTTGGAAAAGAAAATCCGCATGAATTTCCGATTATGACGATTAAACAAAAATATATTGGAAAATTTTTGACGCAGCTAGAAGGATACACTGTTAGAAGAATTTTGTGACCTCTAAAATGAGTATACAAACTTGCTTCTACCTGTTATATTTTCTGAGTTATTAACAAAAATGTAAAAATTAAACGTGCCTATAATTTTATATAAACACACTATCAACCTACTTCGGCAGTTTGATTAAATCTCGGACAGCCTGTATATTAAAGTTCCAGATGATTTTAAGCATTTTTGTATAAAAGCAAATCATATTATATTTTGTATACAAAAAAATATTAAATAATCAGAATCGGTAACCTATCCTTTCTGCTCCAAGATATATGCAATTTTAGTATATTGAAAAAATAATATATATGTAGCTAGGCTGTATAGCTATAGCTACTTTAATAAAATTGTTTTAAATATTTAAAATTATCATGTAGCTGGCTACATATATAAGAACAAAGAAATAATAAATAAATTCCATGTTATTATTTTTTTTTTTTGTTTACTTTAAATTTTCTTTTAAATTAAATAAAGAACAAGATAATTTATTCATACAAACGCACAACAGACAGATGGTGTGGGTAAAAGAACGAGTCTGAAAATAGATATGTTAAAAAAAAAGAAATTTCTCATTCCTTCACATTGAAGGCGAAAAAAAAAAATTCTTTAATATTTATACCTTGGTTTTTTATGCCCAGGCCATTTGTTTATTGATAATATGAAGAAATCATATTCGAAATTACTTTAAAGAAACTATGTACTAATATTGTATTAGTGAAATAACCGAGATAATTCGTGCTGATATTTTTTTAATAGCTTTGAAATTCTATATGGATTTATTATAATTGCAATCACAATTCCTATTACTCTTGAAAATTAATTAACACTAACTTGCCGTTAGCCTATATTATAGTTATTAATTATTTCAGTGTTCTACTTGAACGTAGAGTCGAAAGAACTTTATATAAAGAAAAATTTTTAGTTCTAATTGAAACTTTGTTTTATCCCTGTTAGAAGCTATATGTATACACATGCCACACTATTCATATGCAGAAGACCAAGATAAATATAGATCGACAAATAAATTTCCTAAAATTTGGTAAGAAACTTGCAATCTGTAATTTCTCAGTCGATATGATAAGTATTTTCATTATTTATTTTAAAATTTACTATAATTAGACTTTTAATTTTACAATTTATAATTGAATTTTTAATAAAAATTTATATGATATTTTCAAACTCAAATTATTATTTTCAAAACAATTTCAATATAAACTCAATTAACACAATATTCAATAATTATTTCAATTAAAACATTCCACAACAAAAATTGCATATTTTTGGGGGCATATTATATATTTCTCCTTTCAATCTTTAAAACAGATTAAACCTTATTCTATAATTTTCTTTGTAATTAAATAGCTATTTATTGTGCTATTTATTTATTTATTAGAATTTTATTAATTTGTAAAAATTAATTTTGGAATCAAAAAAGAAAAAATTAACAATAAAATTAAAATTCCATTAAAATTCAATTAAACAAAAAAGAAAAAAAATATATAAAAAAAAAAACATTGCTTTTGATGACTAATTTGGGATTTTCATTATTAAAAATTTTCAATGCCTTACAAAATGCTCATGTACACATGTATATGTATATATATATATAATAAAAACATTTCTACTAATTGAAAATAAATTTTATTACTCGTACGTTTTATATAAAATTTCATTGTATGTATATATATGAAGGGCTTATGGGTAAAACCATGTATGCCACATTTTGAAAATTTTAAATTTTTTTTGAGAAAATTTTAAATTTAGTGGGTTATTTTATAAATAATTGTAACAATGAAAACAGAAGAAAATTAGCTTTGATGAAGCTCGCATCTAGCTCATGAACTATATACATATATTAGCAGAAATAAATGTTCTATTCCGGATAAAAGGAAATTTTCTTTTTACAAAATATGGAAGTGAAATGGGATAAATAACCTAGTACAGTGGACTATTGCAGCTCATTTTCCTTACAATCGGTAAGTGTATAATATTTTAATTTTATACCTATCAATTGGAACGGTATTAAAATTTTAATTTGAAAAAAGAGAACACAATTTGTCCGCACTAACTACGAGTATCTTAAATATATGTTGATTAAATCCGAGATGTTGCTGCAATAAAAATATTTATTAAACTGTTATCAATTTACATGCAAACAGAGTTGTCACTTAAGTAGAAATATTTGACTTTTGTTTAAAACCGATAAATTATAACATTATAACAGATTTCTCCTATAATTGTAGGAATTTAAAAAATAAGTGACGTTTTTTCTTTCTAATTTTCCTACAAGAGAAATTTTTTCTTTTATAATTGGAAAAAAAAAAATTTGATGACTGCTTATTATTTAGTGACCAATTAAATAACAAAAATATTTTACCGAAAAATTTTGTACCGAACTTATAATGACTAATAAATCTGTCAAAATTTTAGTAAAAATTTTTTGATAGTTAATCTAACTGGTTTGAAAACTTCACAAATTCACATTAATTTTGTTTTTTTTTTTTTTTTGTTATAAAAACAGTTAATTTTTTTTTCTCTCATAAGCCCTCGATGTATTAACAATGCATATTATTTCTCTTTCTATAATTACCACTCTGTACTCTTCTATTCCATTATGTTTTTCTTCTCTTATCTCTTTTACTTATTATTTTTTTTTTATTATTATTATTTTGTATAAGAATTCCAAATATATGTATATATATTTAAAATATGTTAATTGGTTACAGATTTTTTAACAGTCTAATAATAATAAGAAATTTATCATCGTATAGCTAGACGTATATAAATTTTATGTCATATTGTAAGATTTATTTCTGCACAAATACATATATATATATATATATATATATTAATATAAAATTATTTCTAGCAGAATCTTGAGAATTTTTTTATTATTTTTTATTTTATTTTTTCCTTTATTAATGTCTATGTTATTATATAAATGTTAAGTATGCTGTTAAAAATGTATAATACGATATGACAATTGCTCAAATATACTCTTAATATTATAAAATTTTACCTACACTTACAATATTCTCTTGTCTATGCTATATATAAAATTGCATATTGCTATATATATGATATATACATATATATATATGGTATATATGCGTTATATATAAAAAAAAATATTGTAATTATAAATATTTTATGAATTAAAAGGAAATTTTTTTTTATTATTTTTATGAATAAATATGAAATGTATATGTATATGTAATAAATGTATTAACTATATATATTTTTATGTATATATATTTAATAATAAAAATAACAAAAAAAAAATAAAATTACTTACATACTTAATTATTTATTGCCATTAATTAAATTTAATTAATTGACTATATTGTATGTATATATATATATGTATTTTTATTATTATAATTTTTTTCTTTTTCTAATATATTTTTATTTTATATAAGATTAAGTAATATAATTAAAAAGAAATTTGTATTATAAATTATTAAGTTGACACCAATAATTGTAAAAATGAGAATTTTTATTTTTTGTTATATTTTTTTTTTATTGTTATATTTTATTCTATATTTTCTCTCTCTCGCTCTTTTGTTTTTGGAATTAATTTTATTTTCTATTTTGTTTTGTTTTCTTATTTATTATTATTTTTTTCTTATAACATGCAGCGCGTAGCGTATACTTATTTCCAAAAAGCAGTGTTTTTCCTTTAGCCTGTTGATTATTACTCTGCTATATACTATATATATAACAATAAATATACATGCTTGTATGCATGTATACAAAGAATATAATATATATGTATAGAAACAGAGAGGAGGCTTTAAGATAAATGAAAAGCTTTTCCTCTGATAAAAAATTTAACGCGTATATAAAAAAAAATTATTTCTTTTTCTTTGCTCTCTTTTATTGTTTTATTTTTGCTCTGCCGTAAAAATTTTATTTTGTTATACACATAGCTATATGTATGTATAATTTTTTTGCGTTACTGTATTATTTATATAGATATATATTATTGTGTATTCACATATGTTAAAATATCCTTTTTTATTATTATATTGGAAGCAAAAACAACAACAAATTTCCACAATCCTTTGTTTTAGAAAAACACAACAAAAACAACAACAACAACAAACAAATTAAAATTAAAGAAAAATTAAAAAATTATTATTTTTTTTTCTCATATTTTTTGCTTCATTTCAATTCGAATGAGAAAATATTTTATTAGAAATTAAGAATTATAAAAAAAATATTAAAAACACTTTTAATTTTTTCCTCAGTGAATTTTTTTGTTAAATTTTTTTTTTATCCTTGTTTTTAGTTTTTTCTTATAAACTACTTTTTAATTGTATGGGTTTGGTTTTTTTAATTTTTTTTTATTAGAGAAATTTTTTTTCTGCTATACCGTTGCAGTCTAAAGAAATGACCCAAATTGACTGAAAGAAATTTTCAACTAGTGATTTTTTTAACAGTGAAAAAAAAAACGTTAATACGTTAAAGGTGTGTTCCAGTGAGCTTTTTCTTTTTTTCTTCATTTCTTATTTTTATTCTTTTTGTTTCTGTTGTTGTTTTTTTGCGATATAAAACAAAATTTATATTATGTGTACATTATCATTAAATATATATTTGTGTGTATGTTTGGATGGAAAACATTTGTTGTCAATATAAAATTTTTCCACGCATTTTTTCTACAATTCCTTACAAATTATTAAAGTCATCGTCAGCATTTTCCAATCATAATTTTGCATTTTCAAAAAGGGAAACTATTGAGTTACTCTTTAAACTGATATTGTATTGTGATTTTTTAATTTTTGATTATCCTAAATGTATGCAATTTTATTTAGTTATGAAAATTGTTTGTGGAAATTTTTATTTTATTTCATATTTATAATTGTTGCTTATAATTTTGTTCGCTAGATGTCTCTGACGATGCTATATTGAAAATAAATTGTGTTTAAATTTGAAAATGATTTTGTTAAGTGTTAGAAATTCTGTTACGTAAATAATTGTTGTATTCCGGGTCCTCCCCCGGATCACTAGGTTATCTAAGAGCTAAGATATTAAGCTCACTAGATTATCTAAGAGCTAAGATATTAGAGTTTAAAAATTTCATTATATTATAATAAGGTTTTGCATTTTTTGTACGAAACGTAAATAAAAATGCAATTTTTTTTCAAATTTAGAGTTGGAAAATATTTTATTTTGTGTAAAAGTTTAATCCATCCCCTTGTATTAGGACTAACTTAACGTCCTTATAAACGGCCAAGATTACCCTAACAATTGCATATGCTAAGTCCGTAGTTCGCTGAAAGAAGTAAGACGAAAAAACCCTCTGGTTGGAATTTGTCTGCGTTGGGCAGTAGGTGGACTACTAGATTGTTTCCCCTCCTTTTTGTCATAACAGCCTCTACAGAAATCGTTTTCCCGGCCTTTCCGCCTGTCATGTAACGAAAAACTTACAAAATTATGAAAATTTTTCATAAAACGTCAAATACTTGGTATTTTTTATATAAGATGTAAAAAATTTTGTGTTTTTATGAAAAACGTAAAAATCTGTGTTGAATTTTGTAAATTTAAAACTCTGCTGTCATTTAAGAAATATTCATTAAAAACTATGAGCTCCAAAAAAATTTATATACATAATTTGTATTAAAATTCTAAATTATATTTGAATGTCACTCATTATTAGCTTCCCCTTTATAATCCTATAATACGCACATTAGTCATATATTATAAATCATATTAACACATACTAGATTTATTTTAAAATTAGAAGGCCCTATTTTTTTTTTCTTCTAACTAATTAACTAATAAATTCAAGAGCAACAAAAAACAAAAGTTTATTTTTAATGGCATATAGATAAATTGATTATCCAAAGAATATATTGTGGCTGACCAACAAAAAATGACAGAAAGAAAAAAACTAATTGTCGTAGGGCCAAAAACAAAAAAACCGATTTTTTCCCTTAAATTTATCTTAAAAATTAGAAAAAAAAAGGAAAAATCTCTAAAGAATTTGACCCAAATTTTTAAAGTTTTATTTTTTATTTAAAATTTTCTTTATTCTATGATTCTATGTTGAATGGTATGAGTCATGACCGTGTGATGATGATGCGCTAGTTTATTGTTCTTTATTTTTTTTCTTTATAGTTACAAAATTCTAAAAATCTAATTTTAGTGTTGTCAACATTTTTTATTTCTCTTGTATGTATAAGAAAAATAATTAAAATTTTTTTTCACTCTCAATGTTTGTCACATTTTTTTACGGAAATTTTTTTACAATATTTTTTTAAAATTAAAAATATTTTAATTGTACATTTTGATTTTATTTGTAAATTCAGTAAATTCAGACGCATTATCTAAAATTTTATTTTCATTTTTATTCCAATTTCTTCTTCTAGTAAGGTTTTTATTTGTATAAGTTCAAAACTTAATAGAATTGCGAAAGGGACAAAGTTATTCCAATTGAGTGAAAGATAAAGCCAACCGAATCCTGAAGAAAAATTGTTAAAATTTATAAGAACCGCTTCTTGGATGTCATCTTGTTGTTACGTAGAATTGAGTTCACTTTTTTATAAAAATTTGATTGAAAACCTAAATCGTCTTAGTATGGCTATTTGCAATATGATAAATGAGTGTAGCGTCCCAAATTTCAATTCATAAATATGCATAAATATAGACTTGATCTTTAATTATTATTTACAAACTATATAAATCTTTCTATTATTCGTAGAACATAAACCACAATTCAATTAAAATATCGTAAATCGACGTAGATTATTGAAAAAATCTCAGAATTGACAATTACTCAGTCTACTCAGAATTGACAATTATTATTATTTGTGTTATTATGTAATTGAAATTATTTAATCAATATTATATTCTACTATAAGTATCAACATTTTCAGAAATTAAACCAAGCTTTTTCTAGTAATAACAGAGTAAACATATATGACAAAACACATATAATTTTTTATTTGTTTCTTAAGCAATACATAGTAAAGCCACAAGAAGAAAAAAAAAACATAGTTTTTGAACCCGACCTCTTATAGAAATATACATAAATAGTCTGACGCTAGGCAAATTTTGAAATTATTTGAATTCATAAATTATTGTGATTTGAAGATTAAATATTTTAGCATATGCGTGCAAATCAGGTTTGAAAAGAGTATTTATAAGAGAGAAAAGAGTAAATAATTTATTGAGAATTAAAACTATTTGTGTATAAAATTGATGTACAAAAGTAAACATTATTTTGATCAAATCATATTTGACATATAAATCGTCAATCAAATATCATATTTGACATATAAGTCGTGTCAGAATACTAGCATATTTATTGTAAAAATTATGTGAGAAATTTAGAAAAAATTCTTTATAAAAAAATAATGGCCAGATAATTGAAAAACCCAACCGTTTAATCTTTACGCCCCTGCAAAACTCTGGCCATTCGCATATTATTTAATAAAATTTTCTTAAATAATTTAAATCCAAATGAAAATTACAATTAATAAATTGTAAAATCATTAAAATACAATCGAAAATTTTATTCATTTGTAATTTATTTACAATATTTAAATTTTAAGTTATGCAAATTAAATTAAGTGAACTTTATCTGATTAAATTTTGATCTTTTATTTAATTTCACTTTTTTTTTTAATACTAGTATTAAATTGCAACTTTTCTCATTCATTTCCTTTTATTTAATCATATATACACATTAAATGATGATCCTTTTTACATAGTAGTTTCTCTTTATAATATTTTATTTTCAATTACTTTTATTTTCCTCATGAATTCACACCGTAATTAAAATTTGAATGGAAAAATTAAAATGAATGACAAGTTAAATCTGATTTAAAATTTCAAAAAAAAAAAAAATAAATAAATAAAATCTTTAACAATCTTTGCATATACGAGTATTGCAGTAGATTTAAAAATGACGATGACTTTACTCGTTTTGCAACTATATGCAATATTAATACATGTGCATATATGCAAGAGAAATAAATAACAAACAAAATGGAATTAAGGATTTATTAAGTGAATTACTTGGAAAGAAGATAAGCAGGTGAATATTGTTTTTTTTCTGTAATCAATTAACCATAGGTATGCATATGCATATGTAAACTGGACATAATAAATTTTATGATTTGCTTTTTTATTCTGTATTTGATTCTTGGAAAAATTGCAATTAGGGTTGCATTTGCATATTACATAGACCATAGAATATCGTATTAGAAATTATGATTGTCCTTTATAAGATCTTAGAAATAGAGATTAAAACACAATTATTGCAAATTAAATTTTATGGGAATTAAATCGTATATAATAAAATTTTATTTTAA